ATACCATCCCTCAGCTCTTCAGCTCAAGGCTAGCGCTCTACCATTTGAGCCACAGTGCCACTTCTGGTTTTCTGGTGGTTTATTGGAGATAAGAGTCTCATAGACTTTCCTGCTGGGGGTTAGCTTTGAACCATGATCTTCAGATCTCAGCCTCCTGAGTAGCTAGGATTACAGACATGAGCCATTGGTGCCTGGCTGGTGAAACATTTCTTTTTAAATGTAAATAGTATTAACTAGCCAGGTCCCACTGGCTTTTGCTTATAATCAGATTTCAGGAGGCTGAAATCTGAAAAGGCTTAAATTTGAGAATTACCCTTGGAAGCTAGCCTGGGCCCACAACCAAGATACTTTCATTTTCAACTAACCAGCAAAAGCCAAAAAGTGGTAGAACACCAGCTCTGAGCTTAAAAGGCCAAGGGTTCAAACTCCAGTACATTCTAGAACCCCCTAAAAAAATGTTAACTAGTGACATTGAATCTATTAAGTACCTTTCCTTTTTTTTTTTCCCGTTGGTTTTGGACAGGGGCCTGGGCCCTGTCCCTGAGCACCTTTTTCCTCAAGGCTAGTGCTCTACCATTTTGAACCACAGTGTGACTTTTGGTTTTCTGGTGGTTAATTGGAGATAAAAGTCTCATGGTATTTCCTGATGGGGCTGAATTTGAACCATGTTCCTCAGATTTCATCCTCCTGAATAGTTAGAATTATAGGCATGAGCCACCAGCATCTGGCCAAGTACTGGGTTTTAATTCAGGGCCTTGGTGCTTTCTTAGGCTTGCTTGGCTGGTGCTCTGTCGTTTAAGCTGTATCTGCAGTCTAGCTTTTTAGTGATTAATTGGAGATAAACTCTCATAGACTCTTCTGCCTGGACTGGCTTGAACCATGATCTTCTAGACCTCAGTCTTCTGAGTAGCTCAGATTATAGGCACAAGCTACTAGTGTCCAGCCTGCCTGAATTTGTTAAATTTATTTTCAGAATTTTATCAGTTAAAACATGGCTGTGTCATATAACACCATGGAATTCTTATTTCTTATAGGTATTTGATGCTGGAGACTATTCCCTGTTATGTTCAGGTCCTAGTGAAAATGGACAAACATGGACTGGAGGGGACTTTGTGTCAGCTGATAAAGTGATCATCTGGACTGAAAATGGGCAAAGCTATATTTACAAACTTCCTGCCAGGTATGCAATGGATCAGAAGTTAGTATTTTAATTAAAAAAAAAAGGATTCAGAACGTTGGGTAGAAATCTGAAAATGTCAAAATGTATGTGGTATAAAATTTAAGGCAAAACATTTCAGAGTGTCTTAAGGTAGGTTTATATCCCAGTGTAATCTCAAATTAAAAAAATGAGGTAGATTCTTATTTGAAGGGTACTGTTTTTATAACATTACTTTGTTTACTGCCAGTATTAATGAAAATCATTGTAAAACAAAACCCTTATCATCATATGGAATGCTGAGCTATGCCTTGCTGGTATTTTAAGTGGATTTTATTTTATTTTTTCATTTCAGTTGCCTTCCTGCTAGTGATTCGTTTCGTAGTGATGTGGGAAAAGCAGTTGAAAATTTAATTCCTCCAGTACAACATAGCCTCTTGGATAGAAAAGATAAAGAGGTAAAACTCTTCAGGTATCATATATAATTGATAGCTAAATTAATTGGTGACTTGTAGTTAATCATTTGAAAGATTCAGTATAATTCAAGGCACTTAGATGTCAAACATCTTGATTTGGTCAGTTATAAGCACATTTTAAATTTTGCTTGTTTTGAAATGTGCGTTCATTTTTACAGTTCAAGTGATCTTACTGATTAAATATTAGAAATGACTTTCTAATTAAATTCATACTGACAATGTAAATTTATTTTAAATAAACAAGTATATTACTGTTTTTCAGGCTAAGGTATTGTACTTCAATAGTCTAGCATTTATATTTCATGTATATATTTATATATAATATATATGTAAATATATATAGAATATATATATAAACATATATATAAAATGTATATATATTTATATATATTTCATGCATTTATACTCTGAATTTTAATGTTGAGAAAACTACTGTATTTACAACTAAGTGATTTCTCTGAAGTCAGAAATTTTGAGCAGAAAAAAGTTATTTCAAAAGACCCTGATGAATATTTTTGTTTCTAAGTAGTCCATAGCTAACATACTAGGTAAGGCTCAAATTGAATATGTAGCTGTGATGTTGTACTACAAGTTGAAAATTACACTCATGCTCCTCTAGTTGTACAAGCTTGATAGTATGATTCTGCTGCTGTTCCAAGTTACTGACCAGGAGTGGCAAAAAATGTAGGAGTAGGGAATTTTTTCCTTTTATTATCTACATAGAGACTTTTCTTTTGCAAATGTCTATAAAATGGGCATTCAGGTAAGTTTCCTTGTCGTGACTAGTAACTAGGTTTTATAAAACAAAAATATGAATACCAATTTTAGAGAAAGACTGTATCGTTTTTGTTTTCTTGGGTGCTTTTGTTATACTATTGTTGACATGGATATGATATCCATATAATATAATGCCATAACATTAAATTAAAATAACGTTAAACAATCAGCAACCACTTTTTACAGTAGGGAGTGAAACAAAGTGTCTAACATTATTATTTTAAAAATGTTAATGTGTAAAATACATTGATTTTAAAATATAGCTAACGATATTTGAATAATTTTTTTGACAGTTGCTTATTTGTCCTCCTGTTACTCGGTTCTTCTATGGATGCAAGGAATATTTCCATAAGCTATTAATTCAAGGTGATTCTTCTGGAAGGTTAAATATTTGGAATATATCAGACACTGCTGATAAACAGGAAGGTGAAGAAGGTAATAGTAAATTATGTGCATTAATTTCTTAATACTCTTAACATCTGAAGTCCTAACCGTTGAATAATTCATATGATCATATATTATTGTCTTCTAATAATTATATTTGATGAACGTTGTCTTTGGTACATTGTTGAACTAACCAATATTATTTTAATGTTTGAACTTTATTAAACATGTTTTTTCTTTTCTTTTCAATACAAAATAAAACCTCTCCAGGGCTGAAAATGACAACTTCTATTAGTTTGCAAGAGGCATTTGATAAGCTGAATCCTTGTCCTGCTGGAATTATAGATCAGCTAAGTGTGATTCCCAACAGTAATGAGCCTCTTAAAGTAACTGCAAGTGTGTACATCCCAGCACATGGCCGCCTTGTTTGTGGCCGCGAAGATGGAAGCATAATCATTGTACCTGCCACACAGACGGCCATTGTACAGCTACTGCAGGGAGAACACATGCTTAGAAGAGGTATAGTGAAGATCTGTACCCCTCTTATGTGCTTTGAGAACTCTGTAACCCTGGTATTGAAAATGTCTATATTCTGTTTTTAGGAATAAAATCAATCAAGATAGTTGTTAGTGTACTATGTATGTCATAGAGTTTAAGGTATAGATAATGAAATATTAAATGTATTTTCATAACAAATGCCATATAATGACTAAACAAAGAAGTATTCAATTTTATCTCTCAACATATATTAATAGCTTCATTGATTATTATTTCTGTTGATTAGTAAATAACTATTAGCAGTATCGATACTCTTCAAGAACAATTCTGTCCAGTAGAAATCTAATATAAACCATGTAGGTAATTTTCTAGCAGCCTGTTTCATTTCATACAGTGAAGCAGGTGAAACTATTTATAATACTATGTATAATGTATCACAGGTAACAAAGCTGTTTTTCTTTAGTTTTGTAATAGATATGGAAATTATTAGTGAAATATTTAACTTTTTTTTTAACTTACTTCTTTAAAATCTTGTGACTACTTGACATGAAATCAGGGTTAGTACCACAGTAGCTACTGCAACTGTCTTAGAAGATAAAATTGTGCCAAGCTCTGGTGGCTCATGCCTGTCATCTTAGCTCCTCAGAACATTGAAATCTGAGGATACCAGTTCAAAGCCGGCCTGCGCAGACATATCTGAGTATGGCTTAGTTGGTAGAGTACTAACTCTGAGAGAAAAAAGTTAAGCAAGAGTGTGAGGTTCTGGGTTCAAGCCCCACTACTAGCACAAAAAAAATGGAGGTAAAATTGGAAGCTTCTTCTGTGGTATAGTTCTTTTGGCATTTCATGTTTACTTTTACTTGTTGAATCTTTGTAAGACTTTAATTTTCCCATTTTTAAATCCAAAACCTCATTCACAGGTTGGCCACCTCACAGAACACTTCGTGGTCATCGGAACAAAGTCACATGTTTGCTATATCCTCATCAGGTCTCAGCTCGCTATGATCAAAGATATCTGATATCTGGAGGTGTGGATTTTTCCGTCATAATTTGGGACATATTTTCTGGAGAAATGAAACATATCTTCTGTGTTCATGGTGGTGAGATTACTCAACTTCTAGTTCCACCTGAAAACTGTAGTGTAAGTTGATATCTACAAATGAACATTTCACTTGGATACCTAGAGAGGATTGTGTTGCCATCAGACATATAAATGTAATCTAGAGTAATTTACAGAAACTTTGAAAGGAGAATCAACAGCACTCTTTCCATGTTAGCATTAAGATGGTAGTAACATTTAGACAAAGTCATGGTCTAAGGTAGAAGATGAGCAATTTTCCCCTTAATATTAGCTCATAAATTACATACCATATTCCGAGAGCAGTTTAGAAAAAATATATGGAATGAAATGTTGAATTTTTAGTTTAAAATATTCCAAAGATAATCTAGTCTTTTGAGTTTTAGGTACATCTGGGCTAAATGAAAATGAACATATACTTCCATAGGAGCTAAATGTAAATGTACTTAATAGAAGGGTTCATTTAAAAAAAGTTACTGTAACAAGGGAAAAGAAGTTCTAAAGCAGAGAAATGCTAATTGTTTCAAAAATTCCTTGTTAAAATGTACAAGCAGTCTCCTTTTATATGTTATAGTTAAATTTTATTTTCCTAAAATATAAAGCCAAGAAAAAGAATTAAGCAAAATAATTCATTGTTTACTATGTTAAGTTGATGGTGGAGAAACATAAATTTCTATCTGCTAGGCAGACTAGATGCCAAGTGGGAGATGAGCTATAAAGGGACTCTTTTCTAAATCTGAAGACTGAGACTATTATTATATCTCAACTACTGTTTGTATGTTTCTTTGTTACCCTTTTTTTTACTTCTTCAACTGAATTATTGTATTACATTTTTACCTAAAATCTTTTCAAATTCCTATCAATTAGCACTGGTTTAGTGCCAGATTCACTGATTGTATATATTTTTATTGAACTATTTCTCTATTTTTGTTTGTGGGCATTTGAATTGTTAAAAATATCTTGGCATATTCATAGATAATAAATACTACCCAACTAAAATGTCATGTATAGTGCCTAAATTGAATGGATTATACTTTTATCTTTGAGGTTTGTTAAAGGCATCTTGTTTAATATTGTTAATATTGTTTTCCATAAATGGTCTTAAGAAAAGTGCTTTGAAATTGAGTTTTGACCTACTGAATAATCTAGTTAGCTGATATTAAACTATTCACTTAATATACAACATATAATGTAAGTATTAAGTAGAGTTGATGATTTTTGTCATTGCAAATTGAGTTCATTGCTTTAAATGAGTGTTTTTGGCCTTATATCTTATCACTCAGATATAATAGTTATACAATTATAATTAGATTCAAATTTAAAGAAATAGTTCATTAAATTTAAATTATTAAATTAGATTTTCCACTTTAAATATTCCTATATTTAAATTTTTATTTTTTTTGTGATGTTTGATATTAACCATATGTACTAGAGAAAGACATTATCACTGAGTTAAATTCTCTTAGAGGACTTTATGAAAACAGGTTTGCTAAAATTTTAACTGTCTTATTCAATTTTCTTCTGTATTTGGATTATTTATTAGTGTCTTAAAATATTTTATAGGCTGGGAATGTGGTGTACTGGTAGAGTGCCTGCCTAGCATGCATGCAGCCCTGGGTTCAGTTCCTCAGTACCACGTAAACAGAAAGAGCTGGAAGTAGCCCTGTGGCTCAAGTGGTAGAGTGCTAGCCTTGAGCAAAAGAAGCTCAGGGACAGTGCACAGACCCTGAGTTCAAGATCCAGGACTGGCAAAAAAATTAAAAATAATATATATACATGTATATATTATAAGTATTTAATATTGTACAGTATAAATTGCTAAAGGCATTGAAGTTCACTGGTAAAAAGGATTTCCCATTTTCCCCTGTTTTGTAGCTCTCTGGTTCTCTTAAGATCTTTTCATCCTTCAGAGTTTTCCTATATTATACTGCAGAACTATAAATGTTAGTTAATTTTACTCAGACAATTAAGAAATTTAAGCCATATAGAACACATAGAGATAGAAGGCTTTTTAGACTTGAATAGCTGTCCAAGGTAAATGAGTGAATTGCCAAAATCTGAACTCTAGGAGAGGAGGCCAAAAGACTGAGAGCTCTAGCTGCTTAGGGGCTGAGGCAAAGATGGAGAGAGGAAAGCCACTGTTTCTTTTCTTTTTTTTTAAATTTTCATTGTAAAGGTGATGTACAGAGAGATTACAGTTAACGTAAGTCAGGTATTGTACATTTTTTTGAACAGTGTGACCTCTTCCCTCATTTTCTCCCAGGATTTTTCTCCCAGCCCCATTGCCCCTGCACCCCCACCCCCACCCCAGTTGTAGAGTTCATTTTCAACATAATGTCTAGTGAGTATCACTGTTGAACTAGTTCACACTTTATCCCACTATTTCTGTGTTTCCCCTAAAAGGTACAGAAATAAAAAAAAAACAGTAGCAAAAGGGAAAAATAAGAAAAAAAACCCTACAAACACTAAAATAAAAAAAATCTTCTATTTTTGGGAGTTCTGTTTAATAAGCATCATTATATATAATCATATGCACAGAACTATTGCTCCCTTGTGATCCTCTCCTAAGAATATCCTCCTCTCGTCTTACTGTGTGAATGTTTAGAATCCTGTTTAATTTATTATGTCCAAGTGTAATTTTGTCTTTTACCATCCATTGGGTTTATTTGTAGATTTATAAGTACATGGATCAAAATTGTGATATATACACAATGGAATTATATGTTTTCTTCAGAAAGAATGACATTGCTCCATTTGTAAGGAATTGGAAAGGCTTGGCAAAAATTATATTAAGTGAAGTAAGCCAGACCCAAAGAAACATAGGCTGTATGTATTAAGCCAGTGTTTCTCCTGCTTCTAGTACTATAGCTGAAAAGTCCCTCCAGGTCTCTGTACACCCTCCCTCTCATCTACTTGCTAGATTAGTTTCCCTTCACCTGCTATTTGTTTTTTCCTGTATTATAAATTCTAGTATACTCTGTGTGCCAAATTAGAAACTTTTAAAACTAAACTTCGGAAAAAATACTAAGAGAGGAAAGTAACTTCAAAATATCAGGATTGCAGTATAAAATATTTTCCTTCATAAAACAAATAGATGTGTGTGACAGGAATAAAAAGTCAGATATTAAAAAATAACACAAGATGACCCCTAGAAAATTTCCTGCTTAAAGAATTGTAGCAGCTGGATGCTGGTGGCTCACGCTGGTAATCCTAGCTACTGAGGAGGCTGAGATCTGAGGATCACGGTTCAAAGCCAGTCAGGGCAGAAAAGTCTGTGAGACTCTTATCTCCAATTAACCACCGGAAAACCGGAAGTGGTGCTGTGGCTCAAGAGGTAGAGCGCTTGCCTTGAGCTGAAGAACGCAGAGATAGCGCCCAAGCCCAGAGTTCAAGCACCATCACTGACAAAAAAAAAAAAAAAAGAATCGTAGCAATGTGTTTTTATGGAGCTTTCCACATTTTCTCAATTGATTTGGGGGTTCAGTAGGCTACAGTCTACAACTGTGTATGTTTGTGTAATGTGTATATTTATATGTACATATACATACATATAGATAATACAAGTATTTAAAATAAAATAGAAGATTAAGTACCAAATTCATAGCCTGGTACCAAATATTTATTTAATATTTATTTCCCTCATTTAAATAATGATTAAATTATCTGAGCTATTTTTCTCCTAGAATTGCTTGAAGCCAAAATTTTGGGAAATGTTTTAAAATGAATTATTTATTACTTATGTTTCTGCATGTGAACAGGTTTTAAATATGTCTTAAAATACATTAATATATAAATAGTGATTAGTTTTCATTTAGAATTGTGACATAATCTCCCCCAAACATCCAGAAGGTGGCAGCATGGATTTGTGAGAACAGAATGTCTAACCTAAACATTAGATTCCCAGCCCCTAGAAACAAATATGATGGTGTAAAGGTAGTAAAAGTAGTATTTTTGTTGCTAGAGCTTACAGCTAGTAAGAGCATCTACCAGATTAGATTTTCTTTTTTTAATAACTGTGCTTTATTTGTTTCTATTCTGTCTTTTTTCCTCCCTCACAGTCTTCCTCTTTCCCTCGCTTTCCATTAATTGTACAAGGGGGAATTCCACTGTGACATTTCCACACATGTGGGCAATGGATCCTGATTAACTTCACTTGCTTTATTACACTCTCCCATCCCAACCACCCTGTCTTCAGAAAAATTTGAACAGGTTTCATTGTTCTGTGTGCATACATAACTTATTTAATTTATTTAATTTGGGCAGGGTCATTTTGGCAGAGTCATTTTAGAATATTTTCCTCTTACTAATACTAGGGTAAGAATTAGTGTTGGTAATTATTTTGGCAACTTCCAATGACTTTTCTTAATCTTAAATTAATTTTAAAGAACAAATTAACTTTTTTTTGTTAGTCATGGGGCTTGAACTCTGGGGCCTGGGCGCAGTACCTCAGCTCTTCAGCTCAAGGCTGGCGCTGTACCACTTGAGCCACAGTGCCACTTCCAGCTTTTTTTTTCTGCTTATGTGGGGCTGAGGAATCGAACCCAGGGCCTCTTGCATGCAAGGTAAGCACTCAACCACTGAGCCACCTTCCCAGCCCAACAAGTTAATTTTGAAAGCCATGTGAACAGGTATTGCTAGATTGCCTTCAAAAGATTAGCAATGGTATGCACAATCATCATTATAATTGTATAACTTTCCATCTTCCCATTTAGGATTTTCCAAACTTTTAAAATTTTCTATACTTGTAAGTAGCTGTATGTAGAATACATGTGAGTAGAGCTCTTATTTTCTAGAAAACATAAAAAGATAGCAATAACATTTTGCTGATTTATATTCTTTTTTTTTAATTTTTTTATTGTGAAAATACTGTACAGAGGGATTACAATTACATGGGCAAGATAATGAGTACATTTCTTATCAAGCATTGTAGCCTCCTCCTTTGTTTCCCCTTCCCATCCTCCCCCTGCTGATTTATATTTTTTATGATGTTATGCTAGTATATTTCTCCTTTTTTTAATATTGGGGATCAAATCCAGGACCTGGCATCAGCTAAACAAGTGCTG